GTCTGGTGGTATGCTTTCTGGCTGGGCTTTTCGTTGGTGATGTAGGTGCTTATGGAGGCTGGAGGTGGGGATGTCGGGTAGGTGAGGTGTAGCGGATATTGAGGAGATGGATGATGCTAGTGCCGTATTATCTTCCTCTTCCCCCCCCCTCCTCCTCTCCTCCTCCTCCTCCTCCTCCTCTTCTTCTTCTTCTTCTTCTTCTTCTTCTTCTTCTTCTTCTTCTTCTTCTCTCTTCTCTCTCTCTCTCTCTCTCTCTCTCTCTCTCTCTCTCTCTCTCTCTCTCTCTCCTTTCTTAATCTTCTCAATGAAGGGGACGTAGGGAACAGGTCAGTGAAGGTCTCAGATTTGATGTTATGGCCAAAACAGAAAAGGGTAGGGGTAGAGCTTGAGGCCTATGTTCCCTGTTCTAAATTTCCTGCCTCAAGCAGAGCTGTTGTGAAGTTTGTTTTCAATTATAGGACAGCTTTTTTATTTTTATTATTATTTTTTGAATGTGACAGCTAGGACAGGGCCTCTGCTTATAGTGCAGGTGCAGGAGTCAAAGTGAGGGTATTATTATTTTTTGAATGTGACAGCTAGGACAGGGCCTCTGCTTATAGTGTAGGTGCAGGAGTCAAAGTGAGGGTACTTGTGCCCAGAAGCCAAGGCTCAGAGAGGAGGTATTTTGGGGGCTGGTGCAGAGGACACTTCCAGAGTCACACCTTGGAGTCCGCTCTCTGTGTCCTGAGTTTCTTCCTCTGTCCAACCCAGACCTGACCCAGACACCTGACATTCCCGTCGCAGCACTTCTAGAGTCTGGCCAACCCGGGACCCTGATCTGCTCCGTGCCAGCAGCCTGTAATTGGAGGAAGCTCCATACCTTCTTCCGGATATGGGACATGTTTATCTCCTTGGGTCCTGGGACAGCTCACCTGTCAGCGGTCACCATCACCAGACAGACACGAGCAGGGTGGGAAAGATGGGCGAGGGGCAGAGGCATGCCAGGGCGGACAGCCCCAGGTGCCTAGCAATGGGCCAAACTACAAGCCCTCACATGACCACTCCCTTGAGTGTTAACCCTATAGATGACATCTAGGCTTCATCCGTGTTTCACTTTCAGGCCCAGAAAGCCCAAAAAACCAGATAGAGCAACTCCATGGCTGCATTGAGATCCTCCCCTGAGTCCTCCAGAGAAAATCAGGCCCAGCTGCATTGAGATCCTCCCCTGAGTCCTCCAGAGAAAATCCCTCAGGATGCTGGGGGGGGGGGGAAGTCCCCAGAACACTCTCTCTACCAGCACACCCATGCCTTTCTCCTGCCCCCTTTTTTCCCCAGGGTTCTCACTCTCTCCTGAGCACAAGGTGTGTTTTCCTCACCTTTCCCTTTTCTGAAGCTCTTAGGGCCATTCTTTTGCCTCTGTAACTTGTTTCCTGAGCCCACTTCTTCTACCTCTATGTCTCTCTAGATGCATTCCATCTTATCATTTGAGCCTTGGCTCTGAATTCTTCTCTTAGCCAGAACCCTTGACCTGAGTTTGCTGAACCGAGGTCTACTACCTGGTGCTCTTTTTGCTGCCAACAGTCCCATAGCCCTTGGCACAATGACACCAATGTCACCTACCAATTGACCTTACTGGTCAGAAATACCCCCATGCAGAAATACCCCCATGCAGCTCATTGTCTCCTTGTGAGTTTGGGCCACAACATCTGGATTATTGTGAGTAATAAGAAAAAGAGAGTCAGGGCCTGAGGTAAATGGAACTGAGGACTGGATTCCAACAGGAGCAGGGGGCCAAGAGGACGCTAAAACAGAAACCAACTTTAAAACTGAAGGGAACATATTGCCTTCATATCTGAATTCAGATGCTCCACAGAATCTGACCATCTGTGTCTTCCGTGGAAATTACACAGGCAGGAGAGACCTTCTCCTCTGCAATGCTGTGATGGGGGGACGAGGTGAACACGCACCTTAGGATAGAGTCAACATCTCAGAGCTTGAGTGGTAGGAGGGCTGAGGTCAGAAATGCACAGTATAGAGATTAGAAAGCTCCCTAGATCCTGCCCCCAGTTATCAGCCCCTACTCTCACCACCATAACAAAGACCTTCATCTTGTCAAATCTTATGGAGATGCTGCCTCCTCACTTTTATGGACCACTTGGAGGGATCTTTTGTTTTGGCAGCTGACTTCTTCTTAAACTTCTCAACTGCCTCCCCAAGAGCCAAATTCAAAGATCAGACATTGCCTTTGAAGACCCCTCTTGGTCCTATCTCTTCACCCAGTCTCACCTCTTTAGTTTACAATACTTTCACTTTAATTATCCTTCCCTCCCATGAAAGTTATTTGCATAGTCTCATATAGTCAAAGGTGTCAAAGAGCATGTAGTAGAATGTACCTCTGCTCCTCACCCCAGTTGCAGGCTCAGTCCCCAGTGTGGGGTATGCAGGAGACAGCCATCAATGATTCTCTCTCATCATTGGTGCTTCTATCTCTCTTTTTTCCCCCTCTGAAATCAATAAAAAAAATTAAAAAAAAAAGTTTTCACCCACTGAAATCCATTTGGCTCCGTGGATGGAGCATCGATCTGCGAAATGAATGGTCCCGGATTCAATTCGGGTCAAGGGCATATACATTGGTTGCGGGCACATCCCCAGTCGGGGGTGTGCAGGAGGCAGCTGGTCGATGGTTCTCTTTCATCATTGTTTCTGGATCTCTATTCCTCTCCTTTCTCTCTGTAAAAAAAAAAATCAATATATATATATTTTTTATTTTATTTTATTTTATTTTATTTTATTTTATTTTATTTTAAGTGTTCACCCCATGCTTCCTGGGGCATCTGGGGTGCTCCAGCCCTGGGAAGGGTTCTGCACAGAGAGGATTTGGTCCCAGAAGAGTCTTGGAATACAAATCTTCTGTCCCCACAAGAAAGGCTCAGAAATTGACCCTCAAATTCCACTTTTGTCTTGAGGGAAGTGGGTGTTGATTTTCAGGAGGAGAGAGGCAGGGTTTCAGGGTACAAGATGCGGGAAGGGTCCGCCCTGCTGTGGCCCAGGGTGAGACGAGCTCAGCTTTCGCTTCCCCTGCAATGGCCCAAGGGAGAGAGGGGTATTTCTGTTGAAGGGAGGAGTTTGGGGCAGAAACCATACATTTCCACCCAGAAAGAGTCTCTGGACACCCAGCAGTTGCCCCCACCTCCAGGCTGAGAGTCAGATGGTGTCAAGGGAATCTGGACTATTTCTTTGCAGCCTAGAGATGCCGATGCTGCAGTGGCCACAGCTGTGAGGACTACTGCGGGCTGAACAAGAGGTTTCCGGGCGGGGCTGCAGTCAGAGACTGGTCCCTGGAGGGTATTGCAGGAACACTGTGTGACCTGCAGTCAGTGACACAGCTAAGGAGAGCCTGCCTCTGCCTCCTGTCCCATTCTTTGTTCCAACCAATGGGTTTCCTGGGCTAAGTGTAGCCCCCTCAACAACCACCTTCACACCCTGGCCCACAGACACCATCACCCCCCGCCCCCGCCCCCCGCTCTGGCCACAGGCCTTATCAAAGTCTGGATGAGAGAACCTGGGGCCAATTCCACCACCTGGGACACCGAAGGGCCCACAGTTGTTCTCTGAGCATCAGATTTTCCAAAATGTGGGGAAGTGGGAATCCTTTAGGATAGAAAGAGATTACGTGAACCATGACACCCCATATATGACACTGTCTCTGAATGTGACACATGGCCAACGGTCAAGAGCCCCGTGGCCAACTCTGCGGTCATCCTACAACTTTCTTCCCAGCCCAGCTCTGCCCATTCACTGTGCTCTTGGAGATGGTACTCTTAGGCCCCGTTACTTTTGTCAGGGCTCTGGGAGTCACTCTAGGTGCCTCGCTCCCACACCCGTCACACCTCCCCTCAAATTTCACTTCCTCAAAGTGTCTTTCACCTCAAATCTTCCCTCCCAGAACATGCAGATTTGGTTCTCACCTTCTCGAGCAACCACAATACTCTTGATATCTGGCCTCTTGACTTCCTGCCTCTCCCTTCCTCATCTTCCCCTGCCCTGGCCTCAGAGAGACCATGATGATACCTATAATATATGACCCTGCTCCTTTATTGCTTAAGAATATCCCATAGTTGGTCCTGACCAGTTTGGTTCAGTGGATAGAGCATCAGCTTGAGGACTGGAGGTCCCTGGTTCAATTCTGGTCAAGGGCATGTACCTTGGTTGTGGGCACATCTCCAGTAGTGAGTGTGCAGGAAGCAGCTCATTGGTGTTTTTCTCTCATTGATGTTTCTAGCTCCTTATTCCTCTCTGTAAAAAAAAATCAATTTTATCTATATATCTATATATCTATATATCTATATATCTATATATCTATATATCTATATATCTATATATCTATATATCTATATATCTATATATCTATATATCTATATATCTATATATCTATATATCTATATATCTATATATCTATATCTATATTGATATCTATATCTATATCTATATCTATATACTTTTTTTTAAGGAAAAGAATCTTCCACAGTTTTCCCATTGCCTTCAAATAAAGCTCTAGCCCATCAGCTGGTCTGTCTTACCTCACTGCTTGAAGTAGTTGAAGGTCAGGACTGGTTAACATCTTTTTTCATTAGTTTGCAAAGGCATGAGTGAAGGAAATGAGTGGTGGTAGGTGGTGTTTTCTGTTGCCTCTCCTAGCCCCTTTCCTGCTACTGGTGCCCATATTGGCTATCCCGAGACCCATCCCTAGCAGGCCACCTCCATGAGAGTCCCAAGGCCATGACTGTCAGGGAGCGGGCCAGGTGGGACCAGCTTCTCCAGTGCAGGCGATTGCCATGGACCCAGGACATGGGGGGCTCTGGTCCGCCCTTGCTCTCTTACTTGGACAAGCCTCTCGCTTCCCCTGAGCCTCGGGGTTCATTTGCCACAGGCAGAAACGGGGCTGGATGATAGCAAAGAGTCAATCATAGCGGACTCTCTGAATCTGAAGTTCCTTCCTGTGGTCTCATGACCTTTGGTTTTCACCACAGGCTTCCTGTCTAAGCTTTCTCTGCTCTCCCTTATCTGAATCTTTCCACTCTCTCGCAGAAGGACCCGAACTGAGGAGACAGACCGTGTCAGGGCATGAGGAAGAGATGTTTCTGAGGCTGCTGCTGCTGCTGCTCCTGCCAGTGCTGTGGGGGGGTAAGTGGGCTGAGAGGAGTGGACATCTCACTTGAGGGGAGTGGGGGAAGGTCCTGGAGCTCCAGGCTGTGTTTCTCTCTCTCCCTAGGATCCCTGGCTAAGGATTCAAGGTACTGGCTGAAACTAACGGAGTCTGTGACTGTGCAGGAGAGTCTGTGTGTCTTAGTGCAGTGCAAGTTTCCCTGGAGTGGATCCCCCTATCTGTATTTGTTCAAGAAAGTAGGGATTAAAAATAATGCTCATTTAGTGGCCACAACTGATCCCGAAGAGGAGCTACAGGAGAGGATCCAGGGCCGGTTCTTGCTCCCCAGGGACACCAAGTCCAAGAACTGCTCCCTGATCATCAGAGATGCCAACATGGGGGACAGTGGAACCTACTTCTTTTATTTAAAATATAAATTCTATGGAACAAAATTTGAAGATGCATTTTTCACTCTGAGAGTGACAGGTATAGTAGGGGCCCAAAGAAAGACCCCACCCCGGGTGTCAGGTACCAGAAATGGAAAAATGAAGGCCCCTCAGGTTGGGGTGGGGACAGCCATGACAAAACCCTGGGGCAGGCTGACATGCCGAGGGGTCCTAACCATCTCTCTCTTCACTCCAGCCCTGACTAACAAACCTGAGATCCTCATCCCAGGGGCCCTGGAGTCCGGCCGCCCCAAGCAATTGAACTGTTATGTGAGCTGGGCCTGTAAGGAGGGCACACCCCCCATCTTCTCTTGGACATCAGCTGCCCACAGCTCCCTGGATCTCAGGTCTCATCCTCTGTCCTCCATGCTCACCCTCACCCCACGGCCCCAGGACCACGGCACCAACCTCACCTGTCAGGTGCACTTTCCTGCCACTGGTGTGACCATGGAGACAACCATCCAGCTCAATGTGGCCTGTGAGTGCTGGGCCAGGATACCCGGGTCTCTAAGGGGTTGTGGCCAGGGAAGAGCTGGGCCAGGGCTTGAAATCGGGGTCCATCTTTCCTGGTTCCATGGATGTTGAGGCTGCCATGTCCTTCCTTCCCAGATGCTCCACATAACATGGCCATCAGCATCTTTCAAGGAAACAGCACAGGTAGGAAGGGGCCTCTGCCCTCGGGGTGGGGATGGGCACAGGGTCTAGATGGGCTCAGAGCTCCAATGGGCCGGGGACTCTGTGGATGTATAAGGTATAGAATGTATAGAAGGCTAGCTACTGAGGACAGATAGAAGGTTTTTTCCCACACCTCAACTCTCTCGTCTTTGGCTCACCCACGGCTATCTGTGGCTAAGTTAAAAGGAAGCTCGGATCTCTCCTGCTTCACCCTCCTTTCTGAAGTTTTGCCTCCTCCTGCTTCTGTTGCCACCTCTTTGGCCCATGACTGCTTTTGTTTTTCATATTCCCAGCCCGCTGTCCTCCATCTGCCAGGCACCCTGGGTGACTTTGGGCCCCTTCAGGAGGTCTGAGGCCAGGACAGCGCTGGTCCTCTCCTCAGAGGTAGTGTGGCCACAGCAAGGAGGAGAGACCCTCGCTTTGTCCATCCCATCTCTGTATCTCTCTCTCTCTCTTCCCCTCCCTCTCTCTTTCTCTCAGCCCTCAAGATTCTGCAAACCACATCCCTTCCCATCCCGAAGGGTCAGACCCTGAGGCTGCTCTGTGTGGCTGACAGCAACCCTCCTGCCAAGCTGAGCTGGTTCTGGGGGTCCCCGGGCCTGAACGCCACCCCCATTTCCAGGACCGCCATCCTGGAGCTGCCTCGCGTGGGGCCTGCACAGGAAGGAGAGTTCACCTGCCAAGCTCAGCACCGGCTGGGCTCCCAAACTGTGTCTCTTAACCTCTCCGTGGTCTGTGAGTAGAGAATGGACTGACACAGGAGTGTGGGCACGAGGAGGGCGCACCTGGGTGCCTGGACATGTTAGAGGCACCACTGACCCCTCTCCTCGCTCCCCACAGACCCTCCACAGCTGCTGGGACCCTCCTGCTCCTGGGAGGACCAGGGTCTGCACTGCAGCTGCTATGCCAGGGCCCAGCCGGCCCCCTCCCTGCGCTGGCGCCTGGGGGCGGGGCTGCTGGAGGGGAACCACGGCAATGCTACCCACAAGGTTACCTCCCGCTCAGCGGGGCCCTGGACCAACAGCTCCCTGAACCTCTGCTGCGAGGGGCTCAGTAAGGGACTCAGACTCAGCTGCGAGGCCCGGAATGAGCACGGGGCCCAGAGCGCCTCTGTCCTGCTGCTGCCAGGTCAGGGCCTGCTGGGGGCAGAGGCCACTGGGGAGAAGGGAGTGGGTCAGAGAGAAGGGGGAGTTGGGGAAGGGGGGCTGAGTGGGGACAGGGGTGATGCTAGGACAGGGCCCACCGTCTCCTGTCCAAGCAGAAGCTACAGCTGGTTCTGCACGGAGGTGAGACCAGGAGAGACGGAGTCCTGGGAGTGGGAGGTGTCACGCTGGGAGGGAAAAGCCCTCAGACCCTGGGGTCCTGGAGCTGCCTGCCATGCAAGTGGAACAGGAAGGTGAATTCCTCTGCGGAGCTCAGAGCCTGCTGGGCTCCCTCCCTACCTTGCCCAGCCTCTCTGTGCACCGTGAATGGGGGGGCCCTGGACTACCCAGGGGGCAGTGCACCCCGGTCCTGGTGTTGGCAGCACTGAGAATGGCAACAGGTGTTAGATGGGTGGGGTCCGACCGAACCTCGGCTCAGCAACCTCTGCTCTTGAGCTCTGGCTAAGAAAGAATTCAGAGCCAAGACTCAAGGTACAAATGGAAGTTTCCTTAGAAAGCCAGAGAGGTAGAAGAAGTGATCCGTAGAAGTAAGGGGCTTAGAAAGCAAGTCGCAGAGGTAAAGGCAGGAGCCCTTGGCACTTAGGATAGATAGGAATAAAAGTAATGTCCGTGTGTGTGTGTGTGTGTGTGTGTGTGTGTGTGTGAAGCAGTGGGGGAGGGAGGACGCCCCGTGTGCCCCCCAGCACACTGGGTCCCCGTCTGTCTTGAGGGTCTTTATCTGCGGGCCTGGCATTGGGGGAGGACCCTAACAGAATGTTCACCAGCTCTCCAGGGGGCGTCCTTTCAGGGTGACAGTGTCCACTGATGGGTGAGTCCATCTGGGCAGGGAGTCATGGTCACGGCAGCTGGTCCCGAGGTCAGCTGTGGTGTCCCTTCCTCTGGCTTTGCTGCTGTCCTGGGCCTGCAGCCGAAACACAACCTTGGCCCTGTTGAGTTTGATGGGCTTCGGAACCCCGTTGTCCTGAAGGCTTACTGCTTGAGGGCTATTTTCCTTAGACCCCACGACCAGCAACAGGCCTGGGGGGAGGATGGGTCAGGGAAGGGCCTGAACTGCATGAACGGCGACATGCTAAAGGAGGGAAGTGTTAGGTCGCCGAAGGAGGAACGCACGAGGCCAGGGTGGTGAGGGATCACGAATGTATTCCATCCCCATCCGCACCCCGGGCGGCTGAGCCTGGACGGCTCCAGCCCCTGCAGACCCGGAGGGGAGATCATGGAATGTGGTCACAGCAAGGGAAATGTGGTCTCCGCAAAGGGAATGTCCGTGGCGAGATGGCCCGCAAAACCAGTTCCCCGGGGGAGAAGGGGTATCGATTCCATTACTCGATCAGACCTCAGAGAAAGGTCACCCTGGGGTGAGGTCCTTGGCCTCCCAGTGTTGCTCTCTGCCTTGCACCCGGGGTTTTCCTGGCCCATCGTCCTTGCTCTGCTCATGTCTGTCTAACTGCCAACCAGCTGGCAGGGCAGAGCCACCTGCTGACCCCTCTTCTCTTTGCTCCCCACAGACCCCCCGGAGCTGCTGGGACCCTCCTGCTCCTGGGAGGGCCAGGGTCTGCACTGCAGCTGCTCCTCCAGGGCTCTGCCCGCCCCCTCCCTGCGCTGGCGGCTGGGGGCGGGGCTGATGGAGGGGAACCACAGAAATGCCACCCACGCAGTCACCTCCCGCTCAGCGGGGCCCTGGACCAACAGCTCCCTGAGTCTCCGCGCAGGGCTCAGCTCTGACCTCAGACTCAGCTGCGAGGCCCGGAATGTCCTGGGTGCCCAGAGTGCCTCGGTCCTGCGACTGCCAGGTAAGGGGGCCTTTTGAGGTCAGAGGCTTAGGGGAAAAGGAGTGGGTCAGAGAGAGGGTGGAACTGGGGAGGGGGGCTGCGTGAGGACAGGGATGATTGCTAGGACCAGGCCCTCCATCTCCTGCCTGCACAGAACCGACAGTGGGTTCTGGCAGGAGGTGGGAAGAGGTGAGACAGAGTCCTGGGAGTGTGTGTGTGGTGTCGCCCTGAGCTGGTGCTGGAGGAACAAGCCCTGAGCCCCTGCAGCTCTCAGCACCAGGGCTCCTGGACCTGCCTGAGAGGCAAGTGGAGCATGAAGGCAAAGTCACTTGCCGAGCTCAGAACCTGCTGGGCTCCCTCCCTGTCTTGTTAAGCCTCTCTGTGCACTGTGAGTTGGGGGGTAAGGGTGGGACGGGATGAGGGGCTCCTGGGGGCAGGTCACCTGGGTCCTGGAAGGGCAAAGGCACTGCTGATCCTTCTCCTCACTCCCCACAGACCCCCAGACCCCTGCTAGGACCCTCCTGCTCCTGGGAGGACCAGGGTCTGCACTGCAGCTGTTCCTCCCGGGCCCCCAGCCAGCCCCCTCCCTGCATTGGTGGCTGGGGGACCATGGCAATGCCTCCTACAGGGTCACCTTCAGCTCTGCAGGGGCCCTGGGCCAACAGCTCCCTAAGCCTCATGGTGGAGGGATGGACTCCACGCTGGTCTCAGACTGGGTCGCCACTTCCTTCACTGTCCATGAGGCCCAGAGAGCCAGTGTCCTGCTGCTGCCTGGGGCCTGTGGAGGGGGTGATGCCTTGGGGAGGAGGAGCCAGGACACTGACAGGGGTCTTCAAACTTCTCTCATTATGAGAATCACCTGGTGGAGTTGTTAAAACACAGATTCCCGGATCCCAACTATAAGAAGTGCTATCAGGAATCTGTGGTTTAACACCTCCACCAGGTGATTCTCATAATGAGAGAAGTTTGAAGACCCCTGCTGTAGTAGGTTCCCAGCCGCCATCACCAAATACCTCCACCATGGAGGCTTCGTCAGGGAGACCTGTGGTCTCACAGTTCTGGAGGCGGGAAGTCCGAGGTCAAGGTGTCAGCAGGGTTGAGTCCTTCTGAGGCTGGGGGTGTGTTGCAGGTCTCCCCTAACTTCTCAGGGGGAGGGGTGTTCTGGCAATCTTCGGCGTTCCTCAGCTTGTACAAGCATCATTCCAGTCTCTGCCTTCATGTTCTCCTGGCGTTCTCCCTGTGGGTGTCTCTGTGCAAATTCCCCATTTGATGAGAACACCGGTCCTATTGGACTTAGGGTCTACTGTAGTGGCCTAAATTGCAACGGTCACTTCTGCAAAGACCCTATCTCCAAATCAGGTCACATTCTTTTTCTTTTTTCTTTTTTATTGTTCAGATTATTACAAATGTGCTCCTCTCCACCTTCCCCCTCAATTGTTCCCCTCCACCAGGTTCCCACCCCACCTTCTGTTCTTTCCCCATCCCCCATTGTCCTCATCCATGGGTGTACAGTTTTTGTTCAGTCTCTTCCCGCACCCCCATTCCCCTTTTACATTCTTGTTTTTATTTTCTTTTATTAAATACTAGAGGCCTGGCGCACGAAATTTGTGCACGGGAGCGTGGGGGAGGTGCTCCTCAACCCGGCGAGCACCCTCTCCACTCTGGGACCCCTCAGGGGATATCTGACTGCCGGATTAGGCCTGATCCTAATTCAGCAGTCGGACATCCCTCTCACAATCTGGGACCGCTGGCTCCTAACCACTCACCAGCCTGCCTGCCTGATTGCCTGTAACCACTTCTGCTTGCCAGCCTGATAGCCCCCTAACTGCTCCCCTGGCAGCCTGATCGCCCACAACTGCCCTCCCCTGCTGTGACCTGCCTCCACCACCGGGACCGCCTCTTCCCTGCCAGGTGGTGGAGACGCTGGGACCAGCCTCCACTGAGGACGCTGCCATCTTGTGATGACATGAGGGCATGACACCACCTAGGCTGTTATAGATATTTTATGATTTTTTTTTTTTTTTACAGAGAGGAAGGGAGAGGGACAGAGAATTAGAAACATCGATGAGAGAGAAACACCAATCAGCTGCCTCCTGCACGCCCCCACCTGGGGATGTGCCTGCAACTAAGGTACATGCCCTTGACCAGAATCGAACCTGGGACCCTTCAGTCCTCAGGCCGATGCTCTATCCACTGAGCCAAACCAGTTAGGGCTCAGGTCACATTCTGAGACATGATGGGGGGAGGGGGGTTCGGTGTGCTAAGGACTGCAACATACAAATTTGGGGGGGGGGCACACAATTCAAGCCATAACAGCCCCGGAGACGGGGAGCTTGGAAAAGAGGGATTTTAAGGCTTGGACGGGAGTGGCTGATGCGTAAGAGCCTCCGTCCTGAGGTCGGGGAAGGGGAGTGTGGAGGGGAAGGGTCTGGCCCAGGGTCACGAGGAGACAGAGTGCCGAGTGACTGAGTCCTCCTGGACAGATGAGCGTGGGTCCAGTTACAGGCCAGACGGAGACAGAAATGGCCAGTGTGGAGGAGGCTACGGATTGGGGTTAGAATTTACCCAGATCTCTGGGGGAGATAAGAGATCAACCGAAGGACTTGTATACATGCATATAAGTACAACCAATGGACACAAAACTCTGGGGAGGGAGGGTATGTATGGGCGGGGGGCAATGTTAAAATATGTACACAGATAGTAATTTAATTTTAAAAAATAAAAGTTGTCCAATCCTAAAAAAAAAAAAAAAAAAAAAAAAGAATTTATCCAGATCTCCAATTCCCTACAGGTAAACCGGAATCCAGGGCCGGTCAAGTCCTGGGAGTGGTTGGGGGAGCTGGCGTCATGGCCCTGGCCCTGCTTTCTCTCTGCCTCTGTCTCATCTTCAGGTGGGAGTGAGCTCCAGGGACAGAGCGGGGCTGGGGGTGGGGGGGACTTAAGGTCTGGGGATCACAGAAAACCTGAGCTGGAGGACCCCAGGCTGGTGGGAAAGCCAGAGGCCAGAGGAGGGAGGCTGAGTGCTGGCATGAAACGACCTGTCACCTACTGGGCCAAGTAGATTGGGGTCTCTTCCCAACTACTCTGCGTCTGGGAGTAGATTGGGTGAGGGGGGCGCCTGGAGACAGGACCTGCCCACCCCATCACATGCTCTTTCTATAGACTAGGGGTGGCCTGCCCATTCCATGCCCCAAAGAGCAAGGCTGAAAGGCCTGGGGTTGTTTCCTTAGAGTGAAGACCTGCAGGGACAGAGCAACCCAGCTAATGCAGAGCGTGGACAAGGATGTGAACCCAGGCTCTGGCTCCAGCTCCGGCTCTGGCTCTGGGGTGAGTGACGGGACATAGCTCCCATCCAGCATTATCCCTTAAAAAACAAAAATACAGCCGGCACCGGTTTGGCTCAGTGGATAGAGCGTCAGCCTGTGGACTGAAAGGTCCCAGGTTCGATTCCGGTCAAGAGCATGTACCTTGGTTGCAGGCACATCCCCAGTAGGGGGTGTGCAAGAGGCAGCTGGTCGATGATTCTCTCTCATTGACGTTTCTATCTCTTCCTCTCTTTGAAAAATCAATAAAATATATTAATTAAAAAATATATATATATATTATTGATATTTTTACAGAGAGGAAGGGAGAGGGATAGAGAGTGAGAAACATCGATCAGCTGCCTCCTGCACACCCCCTAGTGGGTATGTGCCTGCAACCAAGCTACATGCCCTTGACCGGAATTGAACCTGGGACCCTTGATTCTGCAGGCTGATGCTCTATCCACTGAGCCAAACTAGTTAGGACATATTATCCTTTTTGGATGCTGCCTGCCAGAGAGGCTTTTAGACATTTTGGTGTTAGATATCCAACACTTTCTGGAATTGCACAAGTGGTTATTTAATTTATTTTTTAAATAGATTTTTATTGATTTCAGAGAAGAAAGGAGAGGAAGGGAGAGATAGAAACATCAATGATCAGCGAGATTCTTTGATTGGCTGCCTCCTGCACGCCCCACACTGGGGATTGATCCTGCAACCTGGGCCTATGCCATGACTGGGAATCGAACCTTGATCTCCTAGTTTATAGGTCAACACTCAACCACTGAGCTGTGCCAGGTGGGCATTGATTAAACATTTTTTGTTGTTGTTGTTAATCCTTCTCACCTGAGGATATTTTCCCACTGATTTTTAGGGAGAGTAGAAGAGAGAGGGAGACAGAGAGAAACATTGATGTGAGAGAAACACATCCATTGGTGGCCTCCTACATGAGTCCTAACCAGGGCCCTGGGCTGGGGAGGAGCCTGCAACCAAGGTTGGTCCCTTGACCGAAATCAAACTGAGGACCTTATCCACTGAGCCAAACTGGCCAGGGCAATGACTATATATATATATAGTATAGTATATATATAAAGCCAGTGACCTGAACACTGTAATGACCAGAACGACTGGTTGCTATGACACCCACCTGCCCAATCAGGAGGTGGGGCCAGCAAGCCAACCTCATGTACCCCTTCCCCCAGCTGGCCTGCCCCCGATAGCCCCCCCCCCCCACCCCAAGAGGGGGATGGGGCTGGCTTGCCAACCTCCCGCAGCTCCTCCTCCCACCTGGCCCCACCACAGATTGACCCTCAACCCTGATCAGGGGCAGGGTCAGCCAGCCAACTACCTGCGGCCCCTCCCCCCAGCTTGCTCCACCCCCAATGAACCCCCACCACCCCAATTGACCTGTGGCCCCTTCCTCCAACCAGCTCCGCCACCATCAGTCCCCCACACACACCAATCAGGGGTGAAAGCTGTCCGCCCAACCTCCCACGGCCCCTCCCCTAGCTGCTGATTCCCAATAGGCCCCCCACCCCAAGTGGGAGTGGGGCCCACCAGCCAATTGCCCTTGGCCCCCCTGCCCCCAGTTTGCCTGGTCCTGATCTGGCCCCGATGTGGAAAGGGGAGGGGGGGGGGCTTGGCTGGCCAACCTCCTGACAGGCCCAGCTCCAATCCACCCCAATTGGGGCCAAGCCACCTGGATCCCACCTAGCACAAATTTGTGCAATGGGCCTCTAGTTTTCAAATAAATGGACTGGTAAGCGATAAAAATCCCACCAGTCCCAATCTCAGCCCGGCCTCCGGCCACCCTTCTGGGCAGCTTGGAACGCTTCCTCTCCTCTCCTCTCAGGCACACCAGCGCCCGTTCCGGACGGCCAGCCCTTCGGCTCCCCCAGCCCCTGGGCGTGCCGGCCCCCTCGCCAACGGGGAACAGGACCTCCACTATGCTGTCGTCAGGTTTCACAACCCGAAGCCGCAGGGAACGGAAGAGGCCAGCATCGTGTACTCGGAGATCAAGACTCACAAGTGAGGGACTACTTGCTCGGGGTTCCGAAGGCATGTGGGATCCCTTAGCACGACTCGAGAGGTTCAGGGCCCACTCAGGGTCCAGCTTCTGGAGAAGGCCGCACACTAAAATGAAGAGAGAGACTGGAAAAGAGTTAATTTGGGAAAATGGGGGCCAGGAGGGAAGTCCACCTCTAGTGGGAAGACTAACCCCTGCTCTGGCCTTTTACCTTTTTTTTAATTGAGATTCTGAACCAAAGACATCTCTTAGGCGGGAAGTTCCAACAACAGAAGATCAATAAGAATTTACATTTACATATGATCAACAAATTAAAGTTTCCTCAACCACCCCTATCTCAACTAGAGGATGAGTCAATAGCTCCGACCATTCAGAGCCATCAAGCCTGGCTATCTCTTTTTACATTTTATTACCAGTGACAATGTCAGGTTTCGGTTCCCAGCAAAGGCGGAAAACCTGAGATCCACGCGCGGGCAGGCCCGGTGGCTTGGGAGGCCTCTCCACTCGGCTTGGAGATGGCGTCTTCTTCCTGTGTCCTCCCGTGTTCCCCCCTCGTGTCTCTGGGTAACCTTATAAGGACGCCAGATACACTGGACTAAGGCCCACCCTCATGACCTCCCTTGAACCGAGGTATCTCTTTACAGACTCTATATGGAGAAATGATGAGGTGCTGGGTTTAGGACTTCAACTGGTTAGGTTCATGATTTTTTTTTCCAGCTCATCATCTCAATGCCTCATTATTTTAAAAAAAAATATATATATATGTTATTGATTTTTTACAGAGAGGAAGGGAGAGGGATAGAGAGCTAGAAACATCGATGAGAGAGAAACATCTACCAGCTGCCTCTTGCACACCCCCTACTGGGGATGTGCCCGCAACCAAGGTACGTGCCCTTGACCGGAATCGAACCTGGGACCTTTCAGTCCGCAGACCGACGCCCTACCACTGAGCCAAACCGGTTTCGGCTCAATGTCTGATTATTTTAAAGTTAATGACTTTCTTGACAATGGTCTGAATCCCCTGGCATATCTGAAGGACCGGGGGACGTGTGTCCGAAAGAGCTGAGCTCAAATCCATCTGTACCCCTAATCGAGCGAGTCAGTTTATTTCTCTGCTGTTCTGCAAAGCAGGGAGACCATCCCCGTCTAACCAGGCTGTTGCGAAAGATCGATGAACGCAGTACCTATGACACCGTTAACAAAAAGCACTAACACGCCCCAAGTGTGGCGGGTTCGATTTTCGGTCAAGGGCATGTGTCTGGGGTGCAGGTTCGATGCCCGGCCCCAGTTGGGGCTTGTGTGGGAAGCAACCAATTGGTGTGTCTCTCTCACACTGATGTTTCTCTCTCTCTCACTTCTCTGTCTTCCCTCCCTCCCTTCCTCCCTCTCTAAAAGTCAGTGGGGGAAATATCCTCAGGTGAGGATTAACAAATAAGTAACTAACTATGTAAGTAAGTAAATCCTATATAATAAAATGGTAATATGCAAACTGACCCTAAGGGCAAAACAAATGGTCGCTGTGATGCACACTGACCATTAGGGGGCAGACGCTCAATGTAGGAGCTGCGCCCTGGTGGTCAGCACGCTATTACAGGGGAGTGGTGCTCAGCCAGAAGCTGGCTCATGGCTGGCCAGAGCAGCGGTGGTGGCGGGAGACTCTCCTGCCTCCGCAGCAGTGCTAAGGATGTCCCCTAGTCGGACGTCCCCTGAGGGCTCCCAGGCTGCCAGAGGGATGTCTGACTGCCAGCTTAGGCCTGATCCCCTGGGGATGCGAGAGGGCGCAGGCTGGGCTGAGGGACCCCCACCCTGCAAGTGCACAAATTTTCGTGCACCAGGCCTCCGGTAAATAAATAGAGCACTGACAAAGCTTTTTGTAACCTCTGAACGTGTGTGTGTGTGTGTGTGTGTGTGTGTGTGTGTGTGTGTCAGGACTTTTGTTACAATAAACTTTCTGCTAACAATTCTCCCCGCTGGTCTGGAGGGGCCAGTGCCAGAGGCCACCGCATCGGGTGTTTGTGTCACAACCTGCTCCGAAGCCTTCATGAGCGCCCCAGGTAACATTTATTTACTCCATCTTTCTGTTCACGGCTCGGCACTCCCTTGCCCGAGCTGATCTCACCAACCTCATTTCTGGACAACCGCCCATTCCTTTCCCATGCCAATCCCAACAGCTACCCCTTAGAGAACCTAGCCTTCACATCACCCGTGAAACCGAGGAAGATCGATGGACTCCAAGGAGTAGGGGAAATTCTTAAGAGTGGTCAGAAAAATGCCCTGGCCTGTGTTCTCACCGGTTAGAGCGTCTTCCCAAGAACTGAAGGGTCTCGGGTTCGATTCTGGGTCGCCTCCAGCCCCCGAGGGACCCCAGACTGTGAGAGGGGGCAGGCTGGGCTGAGGCACACCCCCTCCTAGTGCATGAATTCTCGTGCACCGGGACTGTTGTATAGTATAATGATGTGTAGAAAGGTCAAACATGAAATATAATATTTAAATACCATACTATCGTAACGTAATTCATGAATGTGCAAATGGAATTTACATTTGATAAAGCCTTTATGTTATTCAGGAGCAAATGAAATATTATGATAAGCTTTCGATTTTGATATTTTGTTGCTGTAGTCTTGAGGATATTTTTAGAGGAATTGACCCCAAGTTTATCACCTCCAAATTAGGAGAAGTATAAAAGGTTCTGGAAACATTATTCCTTCAAGCCAGAGGAGAAAAAGAAATGGAAGATTAAGAGAGGAGGAAAAAAGAGAAGAGCATATATGTAGTACAAATATAAGATTCTGTAACTAGGCCCAAATACATTTTATTATAAAAACTGCATTAAGCACTAATGGACTTAGTGCTCTCAATAAAACATAAATATGGTCAGACTGGGGGGAAATGTGCATATATGTTGTCTATAAGAGGTCTATGTGAAACCTGGATTGTTCTTTGATTGACGTTTTCTGAGGAATACCGACCATCACACGTGTATTAGTGTTAGAAAATATATTCTTTACAATACAGGTATTAACGGAGACAAATGGGGCCGCTTCATAATGATTACAGGTTCCATTTACCAGGAAGGTATACCACTTGACATGTACATGACATGACAACAGACAGCAAAAAAGTGACATTTAAAAAACAAAACAAAAAACTAATCCACATGCTTAGAGGGAATTTTAACATATATTTTTGCAATCACCGATGAAACGCACAGGCAAGGAAATCACTAAGGATTTGTTATTATACTATACTAGAGGCCCGATGCACAAAAATTCACGCAAGAGTAGGCCTTCCTTCCCCCGGCTGCTGACCCTGACTTCCCTCTGGCACATGGACCCGGGCTTCCCTCCTCCGGCCACCAGCGGGCACCCAGGGCCCGGGCTGGCTTGCCTGGGGCCTGGCTTTGTCAGGAAGGGTGTCTGGAATGACATCCAGAAGGTGCTCGGTCTTATTACCCTTTCATTATTATAGATGTAAACAACATCATTAACGAACCTGATCTGCAGCCATAGATAGAAAACTTGTCCCAGTGATGAGAAGATATATACTCTATTTGAGCACACACCGTGAACATTACAAAACATTTTATCATATACTGGGCCAGATGAAGTAAAGTTTCAACATATGTCAATGGACTGAAATACAGAATTTGTTCACTGATTCCAAGATTATTAAGCTATAAATAAATAAATAAATAACAAAAGCACATTATATTTATAATATATTATATAGTCATCAACATAACTACCCTGTTTCCCCGAAAACAAGACAGTGTCTTATATTAATTTTTTTCTCCCAAAGTTGTGCTAGGTCTTATTTTCAGGGGATGCCTTATCTTTCCATGCGCTAGGTCTTATTTTCGGAGGATGTCTTATTTTCGGGGGAAACGCGGTATGTATATGTATATTAGTGGAAATTTATAAAATTCCTTATAAATAAGTCAAGGATAAAATAATCATTAATGCAAATATAAAATTATTTGAAACTAAGTAATAATAAAAATACTGAGGCCCTAGCTGGTTTGGATGGAGTGTCCACCTGCGGTCTGAAGGGTCCCGGGTTCATTTCCGGTCAAGGGCACATGCTGGGGTTGTGGGCTCGTTCCCTAGTGGGGGCGTGCAGGAAGCAGCTGATCATTGATTCTCTCTCATCACTGATGTTTCTATCTTTCGCTCCCTCTCTCTTCTTCTCTGAAATCAATAAAAATACATTTAAAATACTAAATATAAAATGTTTAGTGGAAAACTTAAGTGGTTATTAGAAGAAATATATATATATATACATACACACACACACACACATATATATATATGTTATATATATATATATATATATAACTTAAGATGTCTATATCAGAAATGAGTTTGTTTTTAAAACTTTAGGAAAACAACAGTAAAATATAAGAGCACAGAGAAAAAATACTCAATAGAAATGAACAGCATCAGGAACTTTTAGTTCTTTGATTCGGACACTAAAGCTGGCAAAGCTCAGTGAAATCCAGAAATATATCTACACTGAGTGGCCAGATTATTATGACCTCTGAATTCATAACAATCTGGCCACTCAGTGTCTATCCTATATAATAAAAGGCTAATATGCAAATTGTCCCCTCAACCAGGAGTTCGGCCAGCAGGCAGGCCAGCCAACCACCCATGTCCCCTTTTCCTGGCCAGGCTGGCTGGACTCCACTCATGAACAAATTCATGCACCGGGCCTCTAATATAATACACACACACACACACACACACACACACACACACACACACACTGAGTGGCCAGATTATTATGATCTCTGAACGCATCATATATACAAGTCAAGAGCAACCAGTATCCAGGAACATAAAGAAGACATTACTCTACGTGGCAGCAACTAGGCAGAAAGTAGTGAAAATCCCTAAAACCCACAAATTCAACGTCTGTATAGTCAATGGGCAAATTCCCAGACAAATATATTATTCAAACCTTCAGCCATTGTCCAGTGAGTATTGGGTCTCATGGCCATCCCTCACCCCGGATAAATGCAAACACAGCGTACTGACGAAATTCGGCCACTAGGTGGCGGCACCTCAGCACTCTTTCAGGTTGGTTCCCTATCACTGGGTATCATCAGTCCACTTCTTGCTATGCCTACAGACTGTCAGAACTCTTTGCAAACCAAGATTAAAAAAAAGTTTCCTCCTGGTAGAACGGGCATGAAGGGACACAGGGCCGTACTTCTTCAGAGTGGAGCGAGGGCCTGATGAGGCAAACAGAACCAGCTCTCTGTACGTGTGATGGGTAAAGAATGGGATCAAGGACAGCTGGTCCACATGGATGGGTCCGGAGGCCTCCTGGGTGGGGAAGGAGTCTCATCCGGGCAAAACCCCAGGGAGGCATGGGAGCAGGACTCAGTGCTGGTAGGGGTGGAGGTAGAGGCTGCTATGAGGGGCACCCTTGGGGACCCCACCTCCAGGACCTGGGTCTGTCTCTCTTTTCTTCAGCTCTGTCAAGGACACCTGGCATCCACTTCCACCGGTTCGTTGACTCTGGGCACCCCAAGAACGTTACCTGTACGGAGCCATGGGCCTGTGAGAGAGGGACACCCCTTCCATCCTATTGGCTTGGGGTCACTGTCACCTCGCTGGGTTCCAGGACGTTCAACTCCTCAGCGGTCACCCTCACACCAGGGCCCCAGGACCACGGCATCAACCTCACCGGGTCACTGGCCTTCCCTGGAGCCGAGGTGAGCGCCGAGAGGACCATCCGCCTCAGCGCGTGTGGGTGCTCAGCCAGGGCCACGGGTCCCTGGGGCTCAGCGTCAGGGTGGGGCAGGGCCCTGGTGGAGGGGACGTGGGGTCTGTTCTTGGACGCGCGGCTGGAGGGAAGGTGAAGAGAACACCCAGACCCACCACCTCCTTGCTCAGGACCAGCCCATCCTAGTGCAGGGGGTCCATGACTGGTTTCTCCTCCAGGTGGTCCACAGAACCTGACCCATTGTGTCTTCAGGAGAAATCGCACAGATGGAAAAGGCCCTGGAATTTCCCTCCTCCTCCCCCCCTCCCACTCCAGCCTGCTACAATATGGGCCCCAAAATGATGTCTACTTACCCCGAAAGTGACTCTGGCCCTTCCCTGCTCAGAACTCACCATGGCACCCTCATCCCTCAGTGCATCCCCTGTGCATGATCCCACCATGATCAGACCTGTTGTGTCAAGCCACACATCAAAATCCACCTCAGAGCCGAAACTGGTTTGGCTCAATGGATAGAGCGTCGGCTTGGAGACTGAAAGGTCCCGGGTTTGATTCCGGTTAAGAGCATGTACCTTGGTTGCGGGCATATCCCCAGTAGGGGGTGTGCAAGAGGCAGTTGATCGATGACTCTCTCTCATCGATGTTTCTAACTCTCTATCCCTCTCTTCCTCTCTGTACAAAATCAATAAAATATATATTCAAAACCCACCTCAGAGCTGGATCCCCCCACCCCCACCCCCCAGTTCTAGATTTAACCAGCTCTTCCTCAAATGTCCACCGCCCTGTTCCTGGATCCGCAGGTTGCCTGCCTCTCCTTCCCCTACCTCATGTCATGGACCTTCTGGCCATCCCTTGCCATGCTTGTCTCTGAGACACCATTTTCCATTCCTGTGTCTGTGGGTGACCAGATAGGAGGAGGGTCCCTCAGCCCTGCCCTTCTGGCTAGCTCGGCCTCCGTAATCCCAGAGGACCTGTGCAACGCCACCTCCCTGAGAGTCTAGGTCCTGCAACCTTTAAGACATAAAGAGCCACTTGGACCCGTTTCCAAAGGAAAAAAAAAAACAAAAAAACCTGGGAGCCGCAAAACCATTGCGACATTTAAAACAAATATAACACTGCATATATTGTTTCTTACCTTAATGCTGTATACCGGATTGTTCAGTTAGCTGTCAATCTGAAGAAAAAAAAGGATTTTTTCACTTAACAATGTAAAATATATTTTTGCAAATTAATAGCTAATTAAAATATTTAATTTACCTGGTTAATGGGATTTTTGCTCCTGAACCTCAGTGCACAGTGTCAGCACATCAGGGCTGTAAGACGTTACCTTCATTTTCACACAGGCTTGCAAGTTGTCGGAGCCGCGGTAAAGCTTCAAAAGAGCCGCATGCGGCTCTGGAGCCGCAGGTTGCCGACACCTGGTCTAGGAGGTCCCGTCCCCGTGCGTGCCATCTGTGAAACGGATGGCAACCACCTTGCAGGTGGAGGTGGTCCCCGGAGAGCCTGACCTCGAGCCCCTCGAAGCCCTTGGATCCTGGGGTCCTGGAGCTGCCCCCCCCCCATGGTCTCAGGAGATGGAGGAGAGCTCACCTGCCACACCCAGCACCTATCGGTCTCCTGTACATCTCCCTGAACGTGGGTGTGCAGGTGAGGATTAGCAGGACACCCGTGATTTCAGGTGGGAAGGCACTCATCGGCACCAAGGCTTGGGCCTGAGGAAATTCACACCTCCACCTCGCACCCTCTCCGCCCCCCTCCCAGCACCCAGGTGTTTCCTGTTTCTGCACCCAGGCCTACGGGGAGCAGCAGGGCCCCCGGCCCCCGGTCCTCACCCTGCTCAATGGGGACTACATGGGGGCTGGCTTTCTTTTCTTTCTTTTTTTTTCATTTTTTTATTGATTAAGGTATTACATAGGGCCAGTCAGCAGATGATTGGATAAAAAAACAACAACTATGGTACATCTACACAATGGAATACTATGCTGCCATAAAAAAGAAGGAATTCTCATCATTTGCAGCAGCCTGGATGGAACTGGAGAACATTATGCCGAGTGAAATAAGCCAGTCAATGAAAGAGAAACACCACATGATCTCACTCATTGATGGATAATAAGGAACATTATAAACCGATGAACAAAAAGATAGATACAGAGGCAGTAAAGCAACAGACAGACTGTCAAATTACAGTGGGGAGGGTAGAGAGATCTAGGGGAGATAAGAGATCAACCGAAGGACTTGTATACTTGCACATAAGTACAACCAATGGACACAAAACTCTGGGGAGGTAGGGCATGTATGGGAGTGTGTGTCGGGGGATTGGTAAGATATGTACACATATAATACCTTAATAAAAAAATGGAAAGAAAATGTATTACATATGTGTCCTTATTCCTCTATTACCCCCCTGCTCACCTCCCATTCATGCCCCCACCCCCCTGTTGTCTATGTCCATTGATTAGGCTTATATGCATGCATATAATTCCTTTGGTTGATCTCTCCTCCCTTACCCCCTCCCTCTCCTGCCTTCCCTCTGAGGTTTGACGTTCTGATTGATGTTTCTCTGTCTCTGGATCAGTTTTTGTTCATCAGTTTATGTTGTTCATTATATTCCACAAATGAGTGAGATCATATGATTTTTATCTTTCTCCATCTGGCTTGTTTCACTTAGCATAATGCTCTCCAGGTCCATCCATGCTGTTGCAAATGATAAGAACTCCTTTTTTTTTTTTCTTTTTTTTTTCTTTTTTTTTTTTTTACCGCAGGGTAGTATTCCATCGTGTAGATCGACCACAGGTTTTTAATCCACTCATCTGCTGATGGGCACTTAGGCTGTTTCCAAATCTTAGCTATGGTGAATTGTACTGCTATGAACATGGGGGTGCAACTATCCTTTCTGACTGGTGTTTCTAATTTCTTGGGATATATTCCCAGAAGTGGGATTACTGGGTCAAATGGGAGTGTTTCATTTTTAGTTTTTTGAGGAAACTCCATACTGTTCTCCACAGTGGCTGCACCGGTCTGCATTCCCACCTGCACTTTTTCTCTGCATCCTCGCCAGCACTTGTCGTTTGTTGATTTGTTGGTGATAGCCATTCTGACAGGTGTGAGATGGTACCGCATTGTCATTTTGATTTTCATCTCCCTGACGATAAGCGACTTCGAGCATGTTTTCATATGTCTCTTGGCCTTCCTTCTGTCTTCTTTCAAAAGGTGTCTATTTAGATCAGTTGCCCTTTTTTTTTTATTGGGTTGTTTATTTTCTTTTTGTTAAGCTGCATGAGTTCCCTATAAATGTTAGAGATTAAACCCTTATCATTGATATCATTGGCAAATACATTCTCCCATGCAGTGGGCTTTCTTGTTGTTTTATTGATGGTTTCCTTTGCTGTGCGAAAGCTTTTTATTTTGATGTAGTCCCATTTTTTTATTTTCTCTTTAGCTTCCATTGCCCTGGGGGCGGTATCAGTGAAGAAATTGCTTTGGCATATGTCAGAGATTTTGCAGCCTATGGATTCCTCTAGTGTTTTTATGGTTTCTCGTCGCATGTTTAAGTCCTGTATCCATTTTGAGTTTATTTTTGTGTATGGTGTAATTTGGTGGTCTTGTTTCACTTTTTTCCATGTACCTGTCCAATTTCCCCAGCAGCATTTACTGAGGAGACTGTCTTGACTCTGTTATATGTTCATGAGGGCTGGCTTTCTCCTGAACCTGGGGGCTCACCTGCGTCTCCTCCACCAGGAAGGTGTGAGGCCACCAACGAGCTTTTGGAGACATGCTGGTGGTTTCACACCTTTGGTTGCCTCCAGAGCAAACCCCCCTGGGAACTGATATGTGGTTTTAGAACTTGTTTCCCCCACGGGTGTAGAGGCTCCCATTGGGGATGAGGCTGCGAGGAGGGACCGAGCCCCTTCCTTGGGGAGGTGCTGAGGTCTGGGTTCCAGCACCCCAACAGGGGGTGAGGACCTATCTACCCACTGGATCGGGGTAGCCACGCCCCACGGCTTTGTGGAGCAAGGAGGTGCTGGGTGACACTCCCATTTGATCCAGTAATCCCACTTCTGGGAATATATCCCAAGAAATTAGAAACACCAGTCAGAAAGGGTAGATGAACCCCTATGTTCATAGCAGCACAATTCACCATAGCTAAGATTTGGAAACAGCCTAAGTGCCCATCAGCAGATGAGTGGATGATTAAAAAACCTGTGGTCGATCTACACGATGGAATACTACCCTGAGATAAAAGAAAGAAAGAAGAAAGAAAGAAAGAAAGAAAGAAAGAAAGAAAGAAAGAAAGAAAGGAAGAAAGGAAGGAAGGAAGGAAGGAAGGAAGGAAGGAAGAAAGAAAGAAAGAAAGAAAGAAAGAAAGAAAGAAAGAAAGAAAGAAAGAAATAACACCCTCAGATTCCCAGGACTCTTTTTCTTTCTTTTTAAATATATTTTATTGATTTTTTACATAGAGGAAAGGGGAGGGATAGAGAGCTAGAAACATCGATGAAAGAGAAACATCAACCAGCTGCCTCCTGCACACTCCCTACTGGGGATGTGCCCGCAACCAAGGTACATGCCCTTGACCTTTCAGTCTGCAGACCTATTCTCTATCCATTGAGCCAAACCGGTTTCAGCTCCAGGACTCTTTCTGATAGTTCTGTCTCAGTGAATGGAGGGCAAAGGAGGAGACAGATACAGATGTCCGTGCTAATGTTCATTAGACTCTGTGTAATATTTTGCTTCTGTGTGCTTACCTGAATGTGGTTCCTATAAGCCCATGATTCGACCCCATAATTTATTGTTATAAATCTCATAATATAACCACCATTTGCCCACCATCCAGAACTGAACTATCATTGCTGACATGTACACATAAGGCACTGTTTGACATTGAAATTGGGTCTCAAAAGAACTGGTGGCCCAGAAAGAAACTCACTACAGACTGATGCATATGCCTTTCAGCATAACGATTATTGCTTGTCTCATTTTTTATTTTTATAAGTATATTTCCAGTAGGACATGATCTCACTCATCTAGGGGAAATGGTGAACAACATAGACTGATGAACAAGAACAGACCCAGAGAGAAGGAGCCATGGGTCCGACTGTTGGACCTCAGAGGGAGGGTGGGGATAAAAGGGAGAGATCGACCAAAGGACTTATGTGTACACATATGAGGCTAACCAGTGGTTAAGGACAATAGGGGCATGGGGGCATGAGTGGGGTGGGGGTGGGGGATTGGAATGGGGGGTTGAGGACAAATATGTGATACCTTAGTCAATAAAGAAAAATTTTAAAAATCTCATAATATATAATTTTTAAACAGTTAGTTTTAGAGTGATCTTTTTTAATTAGAAAAAGCAACTTTTTAATATTTATACAAACATAGGAACATGTTCATTTGCTCTTTGTTTTTTTGTGTGTGTTCATTCAAGTTTCTCTGTAGT